AAAAGAGGCAACGGGAATGTGGAAGCGTGAGTAGAGCCGCGTGCCACTGAACAATGAGCCTTTTCACTGTGTAATTCAAAGCGTGCAGAGCACGCAGGGCCACAAACCAAAAATTTGCGGTTTGGCAGGTGGCCTTTGTGGCCAAGCGAGGCTGAATTCTTGGAGTCGGCTTTCGGAAAAAAATTCCCGTCGTCAAAGGGATGTCAAATCATGGAAATGTAGTCAAAAATTTTCAATCAAGGTACCAAGGTTACCCATTGAAAGTAAACATGCATGTAAGTTGCCATGATTGATTGGTTTAAGTTCGGTTTTCGTTCAGGTTAATGCATTTTCTATGGCTGCCGAAAACTGTGTGCAATGTAGACTGCGGTTTTCTGCTGTGTGCATACGCCATTACTCATGGTAACGCTCGGAATTCTTGTGAATATATCGCTCTCTACTGGTACTGCTATTTGGCTGTGCTTGCCAGCATGTCGCCTGTACAGTGCACTAGACAAAACAGTAAAACCAATCTTTGGGCAAGACTAACATCAATGCTGATACCATGGATACTGGGAGACTTCAGAGAGATTTGGGAAATCAGACATGAATGTAAACGTGCATAAAGGTACAGTACATTCACCTGTAAAGGATTAGATCATTAACCAAAGGTACAGTACATAAAATCTTTGGTTAATTTTTTTATACTCCTTTTACGAGTACATGGAATATGGACATTCATACCGGTATGTGGTTCCATATCTTTCTACAACATTGCTTGTCAAGAAAACTAGCTACATGTACATGTACAATGTACATGTAGCTGTATTTATAGGATTCGAGCAGACTCTCTAACATGTCTAAGATGGGAGGGGAACGGGGCACTGTCATGGTGACTAACCATGAGGTGTCATATACACGTACTAGTTCTTACCACTGGTACAAACTGAATCAAACCAAGCATGTACAGTACATGTACATGTAGCATGACATGAATGGCTGTCATGCTGAAGGTCTATAAAGCCATTGGTGGGGGCAGCTGATACTAATGGCTGTTTACCCACTGCTGTGCAAAGACCTTTTTTTTATTTTGCTTTCGCAGTCAGCTACCGGTATAGTACTGTAAGTTGTCCAGAAAGACAGGTATACGTAACTTGATTTAGATGCCATTTGCACCAAGTCTGAAGGTCAACCACTAGCATAAAAGTCAATATGAATTTTACAAGGGGACCTTCTCAAAACAAAGCACGTACATGTACATGTACCTTCATGTATGTGTAACATGCATACCGGGTAGTAGTATGTAAATATAGAGTGTTCACTTGTCAATAAATTGAAGCGGTAGCAGCTGTCTATACTTTGTTGTACTATAACTTGAAGGAACCTGAATTACCTGATCAAATGAGCTACATGTAATCAGTGTTTTACATGTAGCTAGCGAGCCATGCAGCCCTGTTTTGCACGTGTTTTGCATTTTTTCAAGCACGGCCTGGCAGTGCAAATCAAGCCATGCACTACTTAATTTGACGCTTGTGTAATCTAGATCCCGAAAATGTGAAAATAAAATCTGAGCAAAAATTCAGTCGTTTCCCATGCTTTTCCCATCAACCAAGTCTAAAATAGAAAATACGCTGCAGTAAATTACCGGTACATGTACGCTGGGACTACCATTTGGATGTTTGGTTCGAACGTATCAACGCCGGCAGGCGGGTTCCCTTACTGACAAATAATAAACTGCTGTACCATATCTATCAACTTGTAACAAAATGAATACAGGGAGCCATACTTGTTCACCAGCGATCGCTTGTACATGTAATTAACCTCATTCCCATGGCAACTGTTAGCCGCCATATTCAGATATTGCGCCCACTCTCGCACGAGGTAGTCCATGGGGACGAGGTTGACATATAATCGTCGGGGCTTGCGCTGCATGCTCACTACATGTAATTCATCTAGAATGAAACGAAAAATAACAGATTTCTTCCCTAAGGCAAGGGTGGCCTACATGTAATCTTTGTTATTGTCAATAATCAACATGAAGCTTGTTTAGGTTCTTCTGCCTTAACAATGGAAAAAAAATTGTTGAACTCTTTCGATGCCAAGTTTCAGGCTCGTGCACAAGCGCGAGCACATGGCCTGCCTGTATGGTGTACGTGGGTGCGTGGACAGTGTGATGTACACGCACTATGCATGTACATGTACGACATGTATTTTTTCATCCACATTGAAGTTGAGTCTTGTAGTCAATTTGCTTGTTCTTAATCTTAGCCAAATTGCTGTAGGAAACATGTACATGTATATGTATGTAGGAATACTGGGATTCATTTTATATCATTATTTATATTTGTTTGCTTATCACATAATAACCTAAATGTACTGTATTGCAAAAAAAGGCACAAAAAACAAGTGCCAAGTACTGACCTGCATTATTACTGTACCTGCATACCAATTTTTTCAAAACAAAATAAAGTGGTGATGAGAAATCTGTTAAAAGCTGTATGTCATTATTTGCTTCTTTGTTGTAGGGTTGTTTGATCACACTACATGAAACAACAATTGCACACAGTTTTACAACTTAATTTTTTTCTAAAAGCTGTTATTTTTTGTTGAAAAGGCAAAAATCTCATGAAAAAATGTTAGAAATTCATCAGAGACCACCTGAGAGCATCTAAAATAAGCAGAGCTTCCAGAACCCTTATGCAGGCCCTGGATCCTGGCCGAAAGGGACTTCGCGCTGCGTGCTTGTATTGCGTGCTTCAAGTTCGCGCACAAATTTTGGACTCTAACAAGATTGCACTCCCTGTTTTTCATTCTGCACGCCCACTTTTCAAATCCTAGCTAAAACACTGCATGTAATTAAGGTGTTGATCATTTTTCCCAAAGAATAAAATCCAATACTCCAAAAAAATCTGAAAACTAACATTTTCTTTTTTAGAATACAGTACAGTGCAGGTACATGTACCTGTATTTTGAATTACACTGTGCTTACCAAATGATGGTTCTTGTAAATCTATCTACCGCTGGAACAATTCTAAGAGATACATGTATATGTGTAGATATTCTGTAAGAGTACAGCATAACACTTAAAGGTAGCAATATTAATCTCTTTGAAATCAAGTTTATTCTGTGATGATGTTAATTTATGCCAAAGGGGAACCCCACTGGCAAAAGCAACATTCACATCCCTGGTGCATACGTCTTCATATGCATATTCATCATTAGTTACAGAACAGATCCAACGAGGCTATAATTCTTCTCTTTACAATATGCCACCATTGAACAGTTACCAAGTTTTCCCAAACTCCATACTTGTTGTCCAAGCAAATGAAAATGTACCGTAATATGCCAGGAATTTTTCTTGAAGAAAACTAACACAGAAAAAATCTGATGAGAAATAAAAATGGTTTAAAACTTCCACAACTCACTTGACTCGTTCTTGGTCATGCTGTCGTAGCTGTTCATCACGTTCCAGTACCAAAAGAATGATGTTACGCTCTTCCTCTGACAGATGCTCTAAGTTGATCAATGATGGGGAGAGGCGCTGGGACACCATCTGCCCAACACTCCCTGAGGACTCTTGGTGTGATAGCTTCTCACTGGAAGACATGAGTGAAGGGTGAAGAGAATGAAGGAGGCAAAAGGGGTAGAGGAGGCACTATTTCACCTGATGAGGACAACAGTGTTGGGTGTGATACATTTATGTATGAAGGCTGAATATGCAGGTCAACAGCATCTGTGCAGTGTTAACATCACACATCTGTAGAGGAGACACAAGAAAATGGATCGCTTTGTTAGTAATAGATAGCATACATGTACATGTATGCTTCTGTCATGCTCTATTCAGGTGAATTCCAAAGCAGTTAACATATTCCTAATGCCAATTTGTGTTCAACCCTCTTCCAATCAGGTCCAAATGTTTTGAGCCGTATAACGTATATGTAATGTAGTCAATTTCATAAATACTGCTGAAAACTGATCTTAGTAATCTCTTGGTCATATTTGTAAAAACAGTGGAAAAAAGTGGTCTCCAAAGTCTGAAAAAAAAAATCACTTGAATGACACAGAAATTTCAGATTTGGCGTCAATCAACTCCCAGACAACCCTTCAGGCAAATCTAGGCAAGTCACGCAGAAGGGTGTCTGAATTGGGACACAATGTACGTGTAACAATAAAATTCAAAGTTCACACTATGAGTATAAATAAGCCAACTAAATCCTGATTATCAACAGAGGATAACATTTAAAATCTAGAGCTCAATTGAAATTTGTATCATGTCTCTCGATTCTATATATGTACATGAATGTATTTTGACTTTAGTAATTATCCATGTACATTCACAGCACAATGTACCAGTACAATGCTGGTTCTAACTTTTCTACTGCTAGTATGTGTATAACCATGTACATATTCAACATGTATACTTTTTTGCTATGCCATAAATGTCAAGATAGACCGAAGTGTCAGAATGTCTACAAGGGGCCTATGAACAAAATAAATTGCTCATGCTAATTGTTATACACTGAGGTTTCTACACATGTAAATGTTCCACAAGTACATGTACAGGCAGTTCAGTGATATGAATTCAAGAATCTCCCTGAAATGTGACATCAAATATCCTAGCTAACAATGAACTTAAATGAAAATGAAATGTGTAAAATAAATACTTAATGGGTGAATAGTAGTTCCATCTTAATGTTTAAGCAAAGGTGAACTCACTGGAATCTGCTGTGCCTTCCCAACGAAGGGGCCATACAGTCACCAACTGGCAATGATGCACCTTTCTATCTTTGAATTACTGAGTGGAATGAAAGCAGTATGTATAGTGCATGAGTGTGTTAGCTGCATTCCTGTCTTCCTCAACCACACTAAAAGCCACTCCCACTACACCACTGTCACCATTCACATGATTATCCCATTGTACTGTATAATGCATACCTCTATACCAGCATATTATACATGTAATCTATGCATTATGAACGCCTGGATGACAATGAACGTGTGGGTTAAGAAAACTCAGCAGATCTATCAAACATGCCATACCCCTGTTGATATGTACATTTAATCTAAGTAAACACTGATAATATTGGTATAGGGTATACATATGTGCATCATACAAGTAGATACATGTACACGTACATGTACACGTACATGTACATGTACATGTACATGTATATTATTCTGTTAATTGCCTGCCACACTTTTTACAGAGTATGTATAGATGTACTGGCATAATATCTTTCCAAACAAACTTTATGTCCCATATAAAAGTCACTGGACTGGCAGAAAGTGGGATATTATAACAATGTACACGTACATGTCAGTCATACTCCTAAGTGCAATGATGATCCATGTACAGTACCTGTGTCTCCTCTCTCCTTACCTCATAGTCTACATATGGAGCCTTGTTCTCTGTGTCCTTCCTGCCAAGAAAGGAGAGATGTGCTAGCAGCTCAAGGAATACTCTAGATAAATGTACGACAAAGATGTAAAGTAAAGTTTACAGTAATACCAAATTACACTGTACATTAAATTTACAAGCCTAGGAATTAACATAATACATGTATAAAAATACGATTATATTTCAACATACATGTTACATGACACCATTTTTGGGCCCAAAAAACAGAAATGATAAGATCAAGGCACATATGTACAATACAAGATATACGTACCAGTACAGTATACAATTGGCCAATTGCTGAGTCAGTAATTGGTAATCGGAGAAGTATTATCCAAAGTTTACAATACAGTATTGCTTAGCAGACCAACAGGCCAATACAATTTGTACCGACACGCTCGACCAATCACATGTAAAATATTCAACGATCATCAATCGTTTCAGAAATTTACTTGAAGAGTACCTATATGGTACAGTTGACAAGAAGTTCTCGTACCAATACTTGTACAATGTACATGTAAGGAAAAGCCAAAGAAAATACATGTACTAATTCTAACCCTACACAATACTACAAATTACTACTTGTAGTAAAATGTAGTAATCAGCGCTGTCGCTTGTAAGAGGACATGACCTTATTGTTCTCTGAAGCTATAATATACTTCCTCAAATTATGGACCATTAGCTAATGTTCAACTTTGAGGTTCACTTTTCCTGAAGAAAACAGCAATGAATGAATTCCCAATGTCTGATGTAATGAGGGAAGTCATGGCTGATATCTGGAACAATGATGACTGTGTCCATCTTTCAAATTAATTGGGGTTAATTAATTAAAGCTTCGAACGTCAGCATTTTTGATGGGCGTGAACAACCTGTTGAAATGCCAGCCAATAAAATTTACCGAGGAATGATAATCCCCGTGGTTATTTTACACAGATTTATATGAGGTGAAAGGTGATAATATTTACACATATTAAAATCACAATCACAAAATCAAAAAGTACCTCTCACATTTAATTGGGTCCTGAAAGGCAGTCGTGAACGTCATTCAAAATCGACTGCAGAAAAAAAAAAGTAAAATCAAAATCGATATGCAACACAAGCTTTAAAAAGAGTGCAAAAAAGTACTCCCAGACAATCATCATTTTATGACGGAACCAACAACATTTCAAAGTACATTTTTGAAAAGCAAAGTCTAAAATACCGATCATGGCGATTTTGCAGCTCCCGTCATTATCTCGCAGTGCTGTTAGAGAAACATTTCACTGCATCGTGACCTGTTTGACCTTTGACATCAACCCAGATAGTGCGCCCTCTTTTTCATTCAATATTCATGAGCCCCTCTATGGAATGGCAATGCTCCAGGATTTTTCTCTTTGGACCAAGGTTTCTCGAAAGAAATTCGGTCATACTGAATGACGTTTGAAAAAAAAATGACATCTGAGACATAAAATACGATTCATGATGAAAATCTAATTCGCAGAGTTGAGAATTTTTATGTAATTTTTCAGCAGGGATATCTCCAAAATAAACAGCAAAATCAATATTGCACATGGAAGTTTCAAGCACTACATGTGACAGCGTTTTCAGCATTCTCGAACGTCATGCATTTTTTGTCAAAATTCTCCAACGTCATCAAAATTCTGTCAAATATGACGTTCGCAGTGAACATATTGTACTCATACATTTTTGATATGCATGGAGTCAAGCTTAAAGATAATTTTTGGTGGTTGAAAGGTATAAGACTGGCAGTTATGCTGGTATAGTGAGAGTGATTATCAACGGTAAGAGAATGAAGAGAGCCAAACTTTTCTCATCATTTTCCGTCAATTCTGTGATCTTTTTTTCGTGGCTTATATTTTTTACAGTTATTTCTTAGGTGATTTAAAATATATCAGTTGAAAAATATACTAAATTCTCCTTGTTGTTTAGAGAAGTTTTGAAATCAAGTCCTCAGGTGCAAATACTTTGACGTAAAACTTTTAACTGAATTCAACTCCATTTAATTTGCACTGGTAGCCAACCAAATGTACACATTATGCCAAATTATCCCCAAATAATCATTTTCATAAATCTGAAGGTGCTGATTTGTATTTTACATGATCAAAGTCACTCTTTTAGAGTTTTGAAAAATGAAATCCGGAGTTGCGTTTTGGTTTATTGTTCTCTGTACAAGTAACAATGGAAGTAACCTAGTCAGAATTAATAATTTGTAGTGCTAGGCCCCTCAGGCTCACTCTGTTACTTAAGTATTTTGAGGTACTGAGTAGTGTGAGCCAAACAATTTGCTTGGCAGTTGGAGTAAGTACACTGTAATGACCACAAATCACTTGTGTGAACCCAGTGGAAGGAAGATTCTACAAAAGGGCAAAGAGATCTATTTGTGTGTTCTAAAGGACAGGTACAAAGTATATATATGCAGGATATGTACCGGTACAACTTTGCTAAAAACACTCTTTATAAATTGCCAAGGATCTGGTCTCTTGAATCTCTTTAAAACCTTGACAAATACCATATTTTGTCCATGCATGTATTCCTTTCATTCCCTGCAAATAGACTTGACTTCAAGTCAGAAAAGCAGTCTGATTTCAGGTCTGAAACAGGCTGGGTTTTAACACACCCTAAACGAGAAAAACTTGAAATTTACTTCATAATGAATCTGATTGTATGATGGCACACAGCATACAAAATGTACATGTACATGTAGCAAGAAAAATTCTCAATTTTCTTGAACACAACTTTGGAAACTGCTGTATCTTTCTGGCAATACTACTGGTGCTAGAAATTGTATACATGTATGCAATATGCATAAAAAATCCTTTTTCGGTTTCTTGACCTTTCTTTTCCTTGGAATGTCCTTGCAGTGCTGGATTAGTAGATTACCAACAATGTGACTGGAAAACACATTGAGGCTTGAAATATTCAAAATCCAAGTTAAAGGCACAAGTAAGAGATGGAAAAAACCCAATCAAAGACAAATTTTCAGAATAAATGAACAATACACTCTGTAAACTGTACCGGTACCTTTTGTGCAACTTCTGACAAAATTATTTACGCTGAGTTGCATTTTATCTACATACATGTACATTGTACATATACTGGTGCCATGCCTTGCCATGCATGTCTACTGCAGAAAACTGGTGACAAATGCAACTGTTCATACAGACCTTTCTAACTAAAAAAAGTATGGCATATTGTGGATCAAAAGTAATATCTGAACTTGAATGGTTTGTGCCTCTAGCTATTGGATACACTGCAACCCTGACAATGCACGTCCTTCTCACTGCCTGTCCTTGGATTTTTAACAATCACTTCTTTGTACAAAAATTTTCGAACTCAGGGCACATGTACTGGTACTGTACAGAGTATGTCCCACACAAGTACCATTATAACTACAGATGGGTTGAAAAAATACTTGTACTGGTGCATGTATTGTGGAGCTCTAAACAAATACTCAGCAATCTCCTCAATCAATGATGGAGTGCAATTGCCAACTTGACCAAAATCTGGTACACTGAGTTCTTTAAATTCACGTGAACATAACACTTGAATTCTCCTTAATAAAACCATTGTTGCTATACCTCGTGATTCGGGCAAACTTTTGCATAGCGACCACCATCTCTGGAATGCACTGGTTCCTTTGTGCCCTTCTCATCCATTGAGAACAGAGTATTGTTGCAAGGCATCTCTTATGTTACTAGCGACAGTGTCTTTAGTCTGGGAAATTCAAATTGTTATGTTTATGTGCAGTCAGATAATTCAGTGCACCAGATTTTATACAAATTTAACTTGCAAATGGCTTATTGCAGGGCAACGTGCATACCAATAATGCCCATAAGATATTGCAATGTAGGGCTGTGCTATCTAATATATCTGATTATTCGATCGATTATCAAATATTTGAATATTATTTTCCGAATTCGAATATTCGAATGCAAATTTAATAAAAAGCAGATTGAAATGAAAAGCAACAGAATACATCTTACAATTTAAAAAGTAAATTCCTTAAAAATTTAAAATAGAAACTTTCAACGGGGCAAGAAGTATTGTTCTTCTCTTCCATCTTGCTTAATCATGGATAGAGATAGTCCTCGTAGTGAGAAGCTGTTGTAGTGATTACTGAGTGCATTATTCCAACTGATTTTTTTAATTATTTGAGGTGCAACCGAATATCTGGACATTTGATTGAATTGAAGGTTGAATATTTGAATAGTGAATTATTTGAATTGACTCAGCCCTACTGCAATGCCTTAACGATATTTAAAGTGGAAATGAAAGGTTTTGATCATGCCAATTGAGCTACTGTAATGCCTCAAAAGATAACGTGGAAAAGAAAGCTTATAGATTGGCAATGATAATTGTGCAATGACGTAACTATAGACATGAAAGAATTCTGAAGTTGCATTACGGTTACCATAACTAGGCCTATAGCGTAACTATAGATATGAAACAATTTTGAAGTTGCAGTACAGTTACCATTACTAGGCCTATGGCCACTACAAAAATTACATTTCCCCTCATTTGGCCAACATGTAGGTCTAAATGTATATGAAATTACATTACTGTTAGTTTTCCTAGCCTATTTATGTACATGTACGTTTATAGGATATTGTCATTTTAAAACCTAAAGCAACTCCAAGCATGTTTGAGATGTGGAATTAGCAGTTTGTGATCCCTTTGGAAAGAGTTCCGTATTATACATGTATGTATGGACGCTACTTGACGCCCTATGCACAAACTTAGTATGACTTGAGTGTCTGAAAAACTGTAAGTATTTCCTTAACAGTTAATCACCTTTTTAAACATTTGGACATACATGTAGTCAGGCTCCAAAAGTTAAAGCAATTTGTAGGGTCCAAGTAACTGTAGTGTTTCCTCAATAAACGACTTGGTATTTTCCCTCCTAAATTGAACTTTTCTGGACGTGATTTTGCTTTTATGGTGGCAAAGAGGTCACTGTACAGTGTAGGTAATAATGACTGGCGTCCGTACATGTACATGTATATGGAACTCTTCCCCTAGCCCAGCCTACCCACGCTGCCATAGAACTTACTCGTCGCTGCTGCATTGCTCGCTGGGCCTAAAGTTTGGCAAGGGAGCTAGACAAGTTTTAGAAACCACTTTTTCCGAACAGTCCATCAAGGCCTAAATGAAATACTCGTAAAAATAAACTAGCCTAGGCCTACCAAAGAAATTAAATACAGTGTACTTCCATACAGGCCTAATGGTACCATCACTTCCATGAACTGTTGCTGCAGTAGTCTTGTCGAAGGTCTAAATAGTAGAAGTTTCCAACTTACATGACTTACTCGGGCATACATACAGTTTGCAGCATTTGGTTTGGAAGCTAAGAGACCTTGTGCTGTGCCGGTGCATTGGTGTACTGCCGTGTACTCCATCCAGGCTACACGCAGTACTCAGCTTGGCCGCATCCCTGCGATGTATCTTGTCAACCGGGCTGTATCTACGGTGGCCCATAACTGTCACGGCAAAAGCAAAAGCGCCACAGCAAAAGCTGAAACGCCACGGTAAAAAAAGACGCTCCGGCAAAAAACAAATTCACTACGGAAAAACCAAAGTACCGTGGCAAAAACAGATTCGCCACGACAAAAGCAAACACATACGCTTAGTTTTGGAGGGGGATCGAGACGACAATCTTGGTCTGCATCCGAACACATAATGCTGTTGCACCATCTTTTAAAGGTTGCACCGATGTTGTGACTAAAACATTTTAAAATAACATACAGCATAGAAATATTCTGTAAAAAACAAGTTGTGATAACATTATGCAAATGCCCTAATTGGATATTTATCTGACGTGTTAAATAAAAGTCATCTAATTATTGTGAATTGTTTGAAACAGGTTTTATAGCCGGAAAACAAATTTCGCTAAATTTATATTTGTTGGCATTATTTAGAAGTTTACCAAATTTGTATCCCTACGTTTTGAACATGTTACCTGAACCCCGCGTATTTATAGCAATGCTTAAAGATGTTTTTAAAACTGTTATTATGATGATATGATGTTGTGATACTAAAATTCGTATTTAATTTTATAAATGTTTGAATAGACGAAACCATCACCAGCGCTATATTAATTATTTTTAATATATGTTTGAGTGGTTGTTGTATTTTCACAGCATCAATTAAACATTAGTAGCAGTACAGAAATGCTTAATGACGTGAATTCAATATACTTGTACTACTGTAGTCAATATGCTGAGTAAATAGTAAGGAAATGTAGTGTGCCGTTGTTGATAACATTTTCAAAATACGTGTTTGATGTTTGAATCAACGGAACATTCGCTTATGTTTAAATAAGTCAATTAAACATCACTTATTATGTTTAAAACCTGCTTATTAAAAAATGTATTTCACTAGATTTGATATTTTTTTTTAAAATATAGTAACAATTCAAATGGACAGTTCCAAGTTAAAATGCTGTCAATACAATGTACTTGGAAAACTGCAGCTAAGATAAGAAAATATCGTACAAATATTATACGAACGATTTGGAAACGTTCTTGGAACATTTCATGGATGTTTGAATTAGCTGAACTACCGCTGACGTTTACAATACGTTAAATAAACATCATAAATTTAAAAAAATTACCAATTAACGGTTGAGACATATTTGAAATAAAAGATAAAAGAAGCGCATTGATGTTCTCTAAATATTATTTTAACACTGTTCTTTTGTTTTTGACATGTTTTGATGTTGTTTTGGATGACGTTGAATAAATATTAAACGTTTCGAACTTTCCAATATTTCCATCGATGTGTGGGTCTACGGAAGTGTCGATAATGTTTACAAATTGTCGCTTAAGTATCACACAACAATATTGGAAACCTTTTTTGGGCAAAAATATATATTTTAATTTATAACGTCGAAAACCGTCCTCGTTTTCACATTTCAGTATATTACATGTTCTTTTATATTATGAAATGTTGTTCATTACTACAGACAAATATTTTTAAAAACCCAGGAACATTTTCATACATATTTTAAAGATGTGATTTACATGTTTGTACTGTGGCTGTAATATATATATATAACACAAACACTGTTTGACAAGTCTACAACATTCTTAAAAATGTTTCAAAATACTACGATTAATGTGAATGTTGTGACCGTTGGTCGGTGTTGTATGACAGCGTTGTGCATGTCATAATTAAGACGTTAATATAATGTATTTACATAATATCTATTGACGTTATGTGGGCCTGGTCATCAAGCGTTGTTGCAATTCTCACCAACTTTTTGAGTTTTGTTCAAAAGTGATATGTACACAATGAGTACACAATGAAAGTATGTTGTAACATTGATGTTCCAAAGTTCCAAAGAAACAAATTTGCCAAAATTGTAAAATAAATGCCACACAATGTTTTCTTGCGTGCTTACTGTGACTAAGGAGGACAGTGATATAGGAGTTTATAAATACCATTTAAAGAAGTGGCTTACTGGAGAGCCGTCAACAGTCATCTACGTTGTGTTCGTGTTTTAGTTTCAGGAGTGATGTACGGATTATGCTTTTGACAAACTTGGTGTCGTTAGCTTCAGGAGCAATCGAAAAATCGGGATTGAAATGAGTGCACGTTGTTGAGAAAACAAGGCACAATGCCATAGCATTATTAAAACCCTATTTTGAATACTTTAGTATAACATGTATGTCAACGTGACTTCATAAGATTTTGGAAAGGTGGGTGCACTCGTCAGTATACAGTTACCTTGAAGAAAATAACTTCATTCCCAGTTGCCAGTCATGATTTAGACCCTTGTACTCAACTGAAACCACCCTACACGATTTGACAAATAGGTGTTTCCAGGCTATGGAGCATGGAGAAGTTACAGGTAGTCTATTCATTATGGAATTGCATATCTGCCGTCGCCCGTCGTCCGTCGCATTTTGCTTTTTGTTGTGTCCCAATTCTGCCATTTACCAGTTCCAAACATGCCATTTTCCGTCGTCCGTCGCCCCTCGTGCGTCGCCCCTCGTGCGTCGCCCATCAAATGGGTTGCATAGGACCTGCAAAAGCCGGGGTTTAAAAATGACAATGTGATGATTCCATTCACTTCTAAGGATTTTTCCCAATAAGGCAAGTACAAATCCCACCTGCAGTACTAGTCCCATAATTAATGCCAATAATGCTAGACTACCCCTGCCCCTTGACAAGGGAATGTCGCCTTTCTGAGAATTCAACCAAGTGTTTTTTGGGAAAAACATTTTCCGCGAAAATGTTCAGGCCAACTTATCCACAGTCTAATTCTAATTTGCATACTGTAAAAACGTGCCGACTTGTTTTCATCAAATTCTAGAAAGACATCTGCCAACCGATACAGATATTCCATTTTGTCCTCTCAATTTCACCTTGAAATACAAAAATACTAGACAGTGCCGTGGTTAACAAATTGTTTATTAAATGTATTGCTAGGGGGCAAATACCACTTGGTTTAAGTTTCAGAGAATGTGATGTGTTGGTTTTTGTGGGTGTGTGTGCCATGGTGGATAGACCAATGAGAACAGGTTGTCCTGCATATCAGCATTATTTATGGGGCCAACAAGTAACGTTACTGTTTAAAAGACTCCTGTGAGCCTTCCTGCAACTAATTTGGAGTATACAGCAGATTTCATCAAAGGTATACCCGCCCTCAAAATAATGTTGAGTCAGCCTGAGTTCGTCTCTTATGAGAACCATGAAGGAATCAAACATTGTAAATAATCTATTATTTACATTCTGTTCTGTGGGATATCGTGCGGGGACAGACAGAAATATTACATAGGCTATAGACCTAAAGTCAGGCTGTTAACGAGTAAGGTTACGTCTAGAGTAACTAAGTTATCAAGAAAAACAATCTACTCTAACAAATGTCTATTTTGTTAATTTATTTATGTAACAAAAATGGTATTATTTCATATACATGTTACTTAACCGATGTCAGGATATTATTTCTTCTTTCAAGTGGAGTTCGGCGCAACTGCAAAAACGAATACATGTACATCAAGGATCAAAGTTAAAAATACCACTGCGCGATTGTGACAAAAAAAAACAAAAACACGGGCGACGCACGACGGACGACGCACGACGGGCGACGGCAGATATGGAATTCCATAATTTATAGATCTCAGAAAAGCATTTGATCGTGTTGACCATGAAATTCTTCTAGAAAAATGCGACGTACGAGCATGTGCTTGGTTGGTGAATCGTGTATTCTACTGCATTAGTGTGCATGGGTGCTGTGACATTTGGTGACCCATATTCACGATTGAATTTGGTTTTCCTTCTAGAGTATACCTGTACATGTGGATTGTGCGGGCATTTTCTTTTGCCAAGGCGATTTTGCTTTTGCCATGACAGTATTGGGCCACCGTAGGGATCTCAACGACCACAAACACGACTATGCAACAATATACAATGCATACAATATACTCTTTCGAGCGAGGGCGCCCTAATGGCAGCGTGCGACACTCACTGTTCAACGTATACAGCACGCGTACAGTACTATGTACATGTATAGTACGTACTTTGGCGGTCTTCTTGGGCAAGAGGACCGACTGAATATTGGGGAGCACACCTCCTTGCGCGATGGTTACCCCGCTCATCAGTACAGTATAGTACGTACGTGTACGTGCAACTCCTCAGATACGTGCGACGACTGTCGGAGGCAATGTCCGTGGAGTATCGGAAGAAAAAACCCACAAAATCTGGAAAGACAGCTAGGGAATATCCCTTCTAATCATTTTAGTACATGTAGCTACGCCTACGTGGTATTATGGCAGGGGAACAGAGAGTTGTGGAAATTCCAAGGGTGACTGATCTGACAGCTGATACATTCAATGCAGAATATTTCAGGAGAGGTGGGCTGACACTTTACAAGCCTAGGCCTAATCAGTATTGCTAATGTTGGAAATCAATCCTGAAACTCCTAGACCTATTGACAAATTCAGCGATAATTGATAAAGTCATGTGTGGATTAATTAATTCAGCAACGTTTTATGAACATTGTAAATTTGTGATCCTCTTTTTAAAAATAAATACACAATGATGAAAATTGGTGATATTTACTGATGACTACATCATGTACGTGTGATGTAGCTACGTTAATGCATCTGTTAACTTCCTACTTCCAACTCCTGAAATCTATTTGCGCAATGTTCTCAAGAAATGTAAATATTCATCCCTGCTTACTAGACAATGTTCAGACCACCACTACATTTCTTCACGTACTAACCTTGCTGCTACATGTAGTTACGCATGAAGCCCCTAAACTATGGAACTCACTGGGTTTCTTGTTCAAAAATATTTGCAGTCTATCCTTATTTATTCAAACGCAAATATAAAAATCACTTACGGAATAATTACCTGTAAATTAATTATTCATTAACAGGTTTTAGTGGTTGTGTTTTGTCCCTTGTGATTTCTGTTATCTTTACATGTACATGCATACATGTATACATGTACATCATACATGTATACATGTAACAGTGTTGTACAGTATGCGCTTGTACTTACTACTTGTAGTTATTTAACTTAATTTCTGGGGGCCACTATACTAGACAAGCTCTGCTTTTTAGAGGAGGCCACCCACATTTATTGCTGTAAATCTGTGATATTTACTGTATTGTTATGTGGAAAATAAACAAGATTGACTGATTGATTGGGTTTACATGTACATGTACCTAGTACACACTGTATATACCCCCAGAACTGTGGAGTCCGGGGTGGACATTGGACCCCACAGTTCTGGGGATATTCTGGGGTTGATGTTCAAGTTCTTCATAGTTAATACATTCTTGTATTTCGTGATAACCTCCACCCAGGTACCCAATTACGACGCACAACCCGGTATGTTGTAAGAAAAATATTTATTGCACGTAAAAAAATTAGAAATTCAGATCAAAATAAAATTGAAAATTTAGCCAATAGGTACATGTAAACTAAAAATTTATTAATAAAACACATGCCCGGTCCACTGTAGAGCTGCATGTGCACACATACATGTAACATGTAATAACGGACTCGATTCTAATGGTGTTGCATGATTGCAAAGACTTGATGTTGGGAATCTGGCCCTGCTAGATGACACCACCAATCTTTTTGAGGCACTGCATGTGGAATTGTTCCAACTTCTTCGTGTGGTGGTAAATGATGATTTTGCTGCTATAAATGAGCATGGATTAAACCACAGTGCAGTGTAGTTTTGGTGCTCAACCATACACCACGTTTTGACCACAGACGATGCTGTAGACACCCACATGACCCTGTTCTTGCTGCTGTCACTTCCCCATTGATCTTGGCATTTTGAGAAGAAGTTTCACTGAGGTAGCAAAACTTTTCCACAGCCTTAAATGGTTCACCATTGATGGTGATTATAGGGTTGGAAGTAGATGTGCCTGGATGAGGTCAGTGTTGTACCTCAGTCCTCCTGATACTGATGGTCATGTGTATCAGATGATGGCCCTGGCGAAGTAATCAATGATTCTCAGAGCATCTTCCAGTGTGTGGGCAATGAGGCAGCAGCCATCTGCACAGAGAAGGCCCTGCAGCAGCATGCACAAAGTCCTTGTCTTTGACTTTTGCGTCTGTAGATTAAAAATGCTGCCATCCATCTGCAACTGGATGTACATGTAGGTACTGTACCACTGCAGGGAAAAAGGAGTGATGTCTGTTATGGGAGTCTTCCCTTTTCATGCAGCTTTGATTAATTTGATAGCAGTCAGAGTTTAAGGAAATATTTTATATCTGGCCCCCAAATTAGATCTCATGAACAAAGGCTACATGTTCATGTAGGCCTATTTTTATGGGCCATAACAGAAAGTTTGCAGAGTAGTTTCAAAGAAAACTTCACTCCTACCATACATTTTAAAAATCAGATTTACACTTTTTGGTAGTTTCAAGTGGTGGCTGGATATGGAAGTCTTTCTATATATTATTCACCTTCCACAGCCAAGTGATCATGTGGCTTATCACTTAGTGGTCATGACAACAGCCCTGGTAGAAAATCAGGGTACAGTTTTAATCCCCAGTCTTTTCTGTGTTTTTCTTTCCTATCTACATACATGTGCCCCCCCCCAAAAAAAAATCATAAAATTATCTTTTTATCAGTTTATAGTTTTCAAGGTGGTATATTGCTTGTACTGCAATTTGTCAACATTTGCTGATTTTGAGGTTTATGATTTTGGGTTTGTATCATTCCATGGACTTGTTTCATTTTTCGGGTTCACTGCTTTGAGAAAAATGGAGAAAAAGGCTGTTCATCTTCAACAAAGTGTACATGTAGCTTGTGTAATTAAATCGAGGTCCATCTGCAGAGCGATTATGGCCCTCAAAAATACATTTTTTCCATGCCTTTTGTGTAGAACTAGCAGTGGGCAAATTTACCTTCAAGTTTGTGTTCCCCTCAACAATGCAACACTGAGAATTTCATCAACATTTCATTGTGCAGTGCAGTGTTTGAGATCTTACAAATCCTATGCACTGCCTTACTTGTATGGTAAATTTGATTGCAGGATATTTCACTTCTTTTTGTGCTTTGTCATGTTTGTGGCTTTAGAGGACTTTTATTCAAGCGAAATGAAGTCTGAAATTGAAGTTGTCTGAATTCCATCACAAACTTTTGAAGGCAGTTTAAAGATGAAGATTCATGATAAAATGGCCGAGTCTTCCAAACATGTCACAGCGCACAGTCAGTTGCAAAAGCATATATTGGAACTGGTTCACTGATCAATACCTGTGGCCTTTTATTCCTCCATGGTTCAAATGTAACTAGGATGCTACAATGTATGTTCCATCTCGTCATTTTTAACATTTTCATATGATGGGCAGTACTGGTTTTTTAACATTAAAGACATGATCAGATGAAACCATAGCAGGTATGCTGTACTGACACACATGTGTCATGTGTGATGGAACATGCAAATTAACACAGTCTGACCAATGATCTTGGACAATCATGGAACAGTAGTGAAACAACTGATACATCTCAACATTCATGACAGTGTCAGCAAATTGTGGTTGTTCAACAGGTACCCCAGTGATCATTACAGATGTTGCAAGTCATTGGCAAGCTGCTTCATGGACCCTCCAGTCACTCAAAGAAAGAGCTGGACACAATAAAGCTTTCATCAGACAGAACACCAGCAAACAGAATTACAAGGTAACAGATGTACATGTGACTGTTTGATGTTACAGAGTGACTTCCAGAGTATCTCAGATTCTTGTCATATACATGTACATGTAGTGATGACAGTCATTTTAGCACACCACGGCACATGTAGTAATGTATATGCACATGTACCTGGTTTTGTCCTTTTGACCCTTGACATATTCTTATTGACAGTTGAATATTTTCTAATAGGAGTGGACTTTACTTGATGGCGGTTGTTTTACCTCACCCCTTTGAATTATCCTTTTTGGCCAAGTTAAAGTGTCCCTTTGTCGTGTTTTTTCAGTGTACATGTATGCATTGCACTGATGATAGTGATTGTACATGTAGTTGCAATAAATATTTCTTAGAAACAATATTTCTGTAACCTTGTACTCTTCTTCCTATTTGGTTAAATTCATTGAAAAGGTCACTTTTTAAAATTGTTAAAATTATCCATGCTTCCCTGAGCAACTGAGGGCACTGTTACTGTGAAGTCAACTGGGGAAGACATACATGTAGTTAAGTGCATAGGTTTTTTTCTGTTCAAATTGTGAAGCCAGACTTTACTTACTTTAAACATTTCAGAGAAAGGGATCAATGTTTGCGGTTTGCTATGCACATAAACAACAATGAATCAGCAAAGAGAAAAGTTTGCCTACCAAAATTTACCAAGATGCAGGAGTTTTTGTGTTCAAACCTGAGTAACATTGAGGCTTCCTTCCTGAGATGACATTATACTTTTGCTCTTGAAGATTGAAATTTTCATCAGCATAAAAAGCCCTTTGTAAAATACCCTTTAGAATAGTGAAACAAATGTTGAAAGTTATATTAATTGAGACACAAAGGTGCATCTGGAAAGTCTGTATTAAAAATATTTGGTTGCAGCTCCCCTTAACGCAATGAATGCCTACCCATGTTTGGATTGTACACAGGCATGTACATGTGCAGCAGATCTTTCAGCGTACCAACATACATGTAGCGCCACATTTATGAGAGTGAGAGCAAGGGGTGTACATGTACATGTTTGAATGCTTGCCTGTTTAGCAGTCTTGATAGTCTCCTAAGGCATGCATTGCACCTACATCTACATGTACATGTACATGTATAAGACACATTGCCATCACCCATAAGCAGTGTCTTCTTTAGGCCAATTAAGTTACATGTACATGTTTGTGGGTTCAGGAATAAGTAAACCAGTTTCTCCCATGCCTGCTTTTTTTCACCAGTCCTTTTTTTTTGTATTAAAAGGTGTCCGTGGGTGTGTGTGTGGGAGGGGTACTTACGGTACAAGTACAAGTATGTGTCTGATTTCTATGAACTCCCTTAGTCTCTGGATATCATAAAAATTCCTACCACCTTAACCCTTTCGCACTGGGAGGTGGATGGAGCCTCCGTAAAAATTGAGATCCTCAGCCCGCTTTTCAGCTATTATTCTCGGCCCACGCTCGAGTGAACACGGTGAAAGACGGCAGACCCTGGCTCTTGTCTATATGGTAATTGGTCTTTGTGCGTAG